AAAAAAAAAAAAAAAAAAAAAAAAGCTGAAACAAAAGGATAGAACCTGATCAGTGTCTGTGTGCATTTCTGGTCTGACACCTGTGGCTTACAAAGCCAGAGCCCACATGGTCTCAGAATACCTTCTGGCTTCAGTTTTCCAGGGGATGAGGAAGGAGAGAAGAGGGGCCTCTAAGCAAGTAGCCAGGATACAGGGCCCAGGGTGCTGCCCCTCCCACAAATCTGCAGGAGCAGGCCAACTAGAGGCCTCCACAGTCTGCCATGCAAGGGACACTATTCTCTGGATTCAGACCTGGGGGTCGATCTTAGTGTGGACCTCTGGATTCAAGGATCCCGAGTCCACTGGAGGCTGGGTAGAGCCCAGTGCCCTTTGACAAACACTTGGCTCCTTCACTCCTGAGTACAGCAGGGCCAGGTAATGGCATCCTGCCCTTAGGAGTAGCTGCCCCTAAGTGCATGTCCTCACACCCTGTCAGTGTGAAGAGCAGAGAGCACAGGAAAGCCCATGCTCAAGACAGCTGGAGGCGGAACCTGACACCCACAGGTGGGAATGGCCTGGCCCTGCTGGTCACAGCCTGCAGTCAGCAGCTCACCTCTTCCAGACGCTCAATGTTGGCCTTCAGACAGGGCGTGCAGGACCGCAGCTCACTATTCTCCTCATCCAGCTGCTGCAGCCTGGGACATGAGAACAAGGCTGGGACCTGCCCTCTTAAAAAACGTGCCTCTGCAGGGTAAGGGAGACCTAGAGTCTGGAGTAACCCTCCTGGGGCCTGCTTTGTGACTCAAATGCCCACAAAAGTCTTCACCCCATGTGAGTGCTCTAGGCAAAAGCTTTTCTGTATCCTATGCCAGCTGTTAAATACATTTGGGGCTGGTGTTACTTAAGGTTCACAGAAAAGTTGCAGACAATGTAGTATCCACAGGGCCTGCCTTGTTTCCTTTCCCTCCTGTTGTCACTGCTCACCACTATGGTGCATTCTTCTCATCAGGCACACAACCAGGTGGGCCACAATTTACCAAACGGTACATTGTAGATTTTCCACCAAAGCCCAGGATCCTACCAGGGACCTCTAGCATCAGCCCTCATGTCTCCTGTGTCACCGGGTTTATAGGTCTCCCAGACTGTCTTTGTTACTCCGGTGTGTTGCCAGCCCTGGCCATGTGATCTGTAGAATGCCCCTCAGAATGACTCTGCCGGATGTTTTCTCATGGTTAGATGGGGCAGTGGGTTTGGGAAGACCCCACTGTGGTGCAGGACCTTCTTGTCACACTTTACTGGACACCCACAGGACTCACAAGTCACCTGGTTAAACTGTGTCTGTCGGGTGTTACCTCTGTCCAGTCACAGCTCTCTTCCCACTGGGTAAACCGACCCAGTCCAGACCCTAGGAGAGGGGGAACCTGGCCACCCCCTGGAGGGATGTCTACAGATGCTTCCTGGGATTCCTCTGAAGGTGTGTCTTCCCTATCTACTTACTGACTAGCTGTGTCACTGACTTGTGTGTCCTATACAAGTAGTTACACCAGTGATGCTCCTGTGGAGCACTGTTCTGGGCTGTTCCTGCTCTGGTGTTAGGAGCTCTTACAGTTGACCTCAGGGTCCCTCTGACACATCCATCGATGTGTGTGGACACTCTGGTTATCCTTTTAATGTGTTTGTAAATGTACCAAATATCTGCAGTATCAGCTCCAAGTAAGCACAAAAGTAATTCTGTAAAATTCTCTTTAAAAAGTTTCTTTTTTTTTTGAGACAGGGTCTCACTATCCTGCTCAGGCTGCTCTACAATTCCTTGACTCTTTGGCTCAAGCAATCTTCCTGTCTCAGCCTTCTGAATAGCTCGGACCACAGGTATCCCCCAATGCACTTGGATGAGACAAATATGTGATGGGGGATATGGAGAGGACAGACTTGCAGAAGCAAGGGTCAGCCTATGGACATAGATTTCATGGCCTCTGAGGAGAATTCTGAGGTTCTTTCCAGTTGGTTTTTCTCCTTTTTCTTTAGTACCAGGAACTGAACTCAGGGCATCGCATTTGCCAGGCAAGCACTGTACCACTGAGCTATATTCCCGACCCATCCTCCTTTTCCTAAAGTAAAACATTTTCCCACATGTTGTATCTTTTGGGACTCTCTACTGCCTACCTAGCCTGCAGGTTCTCAATCTCGATGCTCTTCTCTCGCTCCATCTTACACAGAAGTTCTTTCTGCTTTCTTGCCTCTTCTAGTACCATCTCGTGGGCTCTCAGCTCTTGTTCCTTCAGCTGTTCCTCCAGGGCATTGGCTCTAAAGGCAAGGGGAGGAGACAAGGATGTCTACTATGCCCACCAGGTGCTGAAACACTGCAGCCAGGTTGGCCTAGCCATTAGAGCTAGGGAGAAGCCAGAAAGCGCCTGAGGTCCAAGGGCTGCAGAACCCTGTAGAAAGTGAATGTGACAGCTAAATGCAGCAATCCTATAGCTAGAGTCACCGATAATGGATAACACCAGATGAAAATGGAACCTCCATACTTAGCTCAGGACACAGCCCTCTCTGGGGACACAAGACACTTAACACACCATGGAACTGAAGTCCTTCAGGAACGTGGCTGACCCACCAACCTGGCAGCAGGAATTAGAGGCAGGTACTTTCTCAGTGGGAATGCAAGCGGGTGGGCAGCGCCACGCCGAGGCCTAATTCCACAAGACAATGTATTTCTGTAATGTTGATATGATGTGCAGCTTGGTCCACAAGTGCTGACTCTCAGAGCTCCTGAACTGGAGGACAGTCAGGAACATCAGCCTCATACAAAGGGAGACACCAAGCTTCAGGAATGCTGGGTCACCAAGGGGACACCTACTACCAGCACCAGTATATGTGGCTTTTGTCCGGGGCCATTCAGAATTCTCTACAACCACATACTCAACTTATGGATGAGAAAACAGGCTCAGAGGTACAAAGCCCTGAGAGAGCTTAGGCTGTGGCAGAGCTAGCATGTGGCTGAGGCAGTCTGGCCAGCACAGCAGCTCCAGGCAGAGAATCTCTCCCATGGATGCCACAAGTGCCTCTCCACTCCCCCTGCCCCAACATCAGATTAACCTCAAAACTAAGCTCTTCTCACTGTGCATGAGAAAAATTATTGTGAATACACACATCTGGCTGGAGAATTCAGAAAAGTCTGCTCCAGAAGGAACTTGTCCCTTCTTCCATGCAAACCCAGCAGCTGTGCTTCATTTCCTTTTTAGCACCTCTATGATTGGACTGTAGATCCTGTCTCCTGCTCAGTGTGCCTTTTCTGCTACTAAGCGACTTCCTCAGCCAGGAACCCTCAAGGATAAATTCTGCCCCACACAGGTGCTCCCTGACCTGCTCCTCCACTGCAGGGCTCTGCCTTCACCCCCAAAACCCTCCTGCTGTCTCCAATCCCTGGCATAATCTAAATTCCCCACACCTCAGTTTTACCATCTGAAATGGAGGCGTGGTCTGCTCCTCGGGTGACAGTAAGGTGACTAAGACTGCAGATGAGAGGTACAAAGTGTAGCGACGATCTTGGAAAAACACGCCCCAACCCAGGGATCAGTGCTACGAGGGCAGGGCTCAGAAACAGGGTGCAAGGTGGAGGCCAGCTGCAGGTGGACACTGGGCTAGCCCCAGGAGGGCTCCCAAGTTGACCAGAAAACTTACCTAGAGAAGCTCCATGTACAGTGACACTCACCATGAGCTGAGAAATATACCTCTTCCTGGGTCTGTTCTGATTCTGGGGACCAGGCCCACTGCTCAGCCTTCTATGCACGCCCTCCACCACCGCCCATGCCCCAGTTCCTCCTGAGGCTTTAATCTGTTCTCTTCAGTGCCCCCAGGTTGAGCTTCGTGTCCTATGTTCACTGCTTGCTATCAGACCTCTTCTGTGTGGGCATGGGCAAGGGGTCACCTTTCCCTTGCTCCTCTGGGGCCCTGTGTGTGTCTAGGCCCAGATACCTGTAGGGGAGAATACTCAAATGAGAGTCTCAGGTCAGCCTGCCCAGCCAGCACCTGAATGGATGTGCATCTCACCTGTGCACCAGCTGGAGGTTCTCTTGCCTCAGCCGGCTGTGCTGTTCCCCTGCGGCCAAGCTGTCCTTCTCCAGTTCTGACACCCGCCTCTCCAGGAAGATGACCTTAGTGATGAGACACAGCTTGAATATCAGGGAGGAGAGGTAGGAGGGCTGCATCCCCAGGAGCTTCTAGAGGGCAGCACAGGGTGCCATAGGTGCCTAGCGCAGCTGATGTTTTATTCAGCCCTGGCTGAGACTGCTCCAGGAACCCCCTGTAGCTTTCTTCTAGGTCACTCTGTCACCTCCACAGGACAAGGGACACAATATAGGAGGTTCTGAGGCCTGAGGGCCCAAGAGCAGCCTTTTAACTCACAGAGCAGTGAGGACCACAGTCATGAAACAAGTAGGGCCCCTGCTCTGGTCCACACAGCCCATGGAGGAGAACCAGGCAGCTGGGGACATAAGTGACAGAAAGGCCTAGGTCCCAGCCTTCTTCAGAGGATTCCTGTGAAAAGGGAGACAGACAGCACAAAAGCAGGAGGAATGAAGGCAGAGGAGGAGGAACACAGCCTTGGGCTGCAGTGTGCAGATGTGCAGACTCCATGAAGGTGGGGTACAGGAGAGGGCACAGATGAAGTGCAGATGGCAGGAGAGATGGGATGTGGGGGTGAAGAGATGGGTACAAGAGGAGTAGAGACAGGGCATAGCAGAGGGTAGGGATGGGATGTGGGGGTCAAGTCGGTATGGGGGGTTCAAGTAGAGACAAACGGAGTAGGAAAGACATGCAGAAGAGGGAGGAGATGGTGCAAGAAGGGGCAGAGATAGGGTAGGGGGAGTGAGGGAAGACAAGGGGCACTGTGGCCCCTCCCCAAGTCTCAGGCTGGCCTTGGGAAGCAGGGGTTTGACCTCTACAGTTCCTTGCCCTGTGGCCACTGCAGGCCAAAGGCCCAGTCTCGCCTCACGGGCCCCAGTAAGCTGTATCTCTGGGCATTCCCGCCACTGTCCCTGGGCTGTCTCCTCTGTTTGCACAAAGGCACTCACGTAGTATCTGAAATCCCGGCTCCCACTCTAGCTCCAGTTCTTTCTGCTGCTGCACCTGTACCCACCAAATTTTCTTCTTCATCCCATAGCCACTGAACCCTTGAGGGAACTTGCTGAGGAATGTCAAGGCTGTGTGGTCCATCTAATTACCTCTAGTGACACCACTGCCAATTGCTACTGGACTGTCCAGACAGCATCCCCCAAGTGCCAAGATGATGCCCAGGTGTCCTTTCAGCCACCCAGGGCCCACAGAGCACAAGGCACCATATCTGGGGACAGCTTCAGACCCTGGCTGCAGTTGGCTTGTACTCCCATGACCTGCTCCTGGCCCTTGGTCCTCAGTACCCAGTGCCTACCTTGTCAGCAATGTCCTCCTCCAGGCCCTCCACAGGGTCCGATGGAGCGTCGTCCAGGGCCTCCATGTTCAGGGTCCCTGACTGGTGCAGGTACCTGTGAAAAAGAATCAATAGCAGAGGGAAGAAGTGGAAAAACCAAATGGCAAGCTCTCCCAACACCAGCAATGCCAAGTGCCTCTGAAAGGCTGACAGTAGCATGGCAGGTACAGGCTCTCTGCTCCAGAGGCTATGGTCTTCCTGATCAAAAGCACTGAGCAAACAAGGTTCCTGGGCCAGTCACCTTTACTAAGGGCCAGGAGAAGGCAGCACTCTGGTTTCAGAGTCCTCCTGGTACTCTTTGAAGCCTGAGAGAATATGACCTCTGCCTGCCAGCTGTGCTTGGAAGAGGGCACTTTGTACTTATGTGCAATAAAACATAACATCGCTCCTCACGATAGGAAACTGTGTGCTTCCACCAGAGACCTGTCAAACATTAGTTCAGAATCCTGACTCCTGTACATGGCACCTATCAACCACTGCGACACTTTTGTCAAACACATTCCCTGGGGCAGTGACAACTTATGATTTTGAGGACAGGTATGAATCCCACTGGGGTCACACAATGGTTACATGTGGAGCCTGGTTCAGCCATGCTTGGGAGCACCCAGACATGGATACCCATCCCTGAGCATCAGCCAGTGGACAGGATGCTGTCAGCCTGGGGCTCTGGGACAACTGGCCCTGAAGGTCTCAGGCCTCATGCTGTGGCCTCAAGCAGGAGCTGTTCCTCCCTTCAGTCCCTCAGCAGGTCCCAGTGAGTACCTGCACATGGTTCTAGGTAACCTCCTTTGTTGTGGTGGATCTACATGAACACTGCTTAGCAGGATTCTATAAAACCCTCAGAGTATCTGTATAGATGTGCCAACAGCAAGCCTGCATATCGAGTTCTTTCCACACACTGGGACCCTCAATGCTGAGCCTTGCTTCAAGCTTGACAACACTTGCAGCTGTATGACATTGGAAAGACTCACTTTCTCTGAGCCTCTTTCTCCTACAAAATGGGGATCTGCCAGCAATTACAAGGCTTAGATAAAGCCATACTTATAAACAGCTCAGGACATAGCCCATACTGAGAATTCAACTGAATGCTAACAGTAATCACACTCAAAATGTCTACTTCATATTATCAATAAATGAAGCTGTTTGCTTTTTAGCATAGACTGAGCTTCTGTATTTCCTTTTCATTCAAAATGTTCTAAGGAGGGCCAGAGATATAGCTCAGTGGTTCCACTGCCTGCCTCACAAGCATAAGGTCTGAAGCTCAATGCCTGGTACCAAACAAAAAAAACCCAACAAAAAAAGTAGTCACTAAAATGATCTAAGGAGAAAAGAAAGTAAATGCCTCCACCCCCTTGACCACAAACTTGTGCTGGTGGATGCTTCCAGAAAGGACTGGCTCTGAGGTTTTCTCAAATTCTCAAAAGTACTGCAAGACATCATGTTCTCAGCTGTTGCTGCTCTTAAACACCCAGGACCTCGATCTCAATGTGATCCCACTGCCAGGCCAGGGAGCAGCTCATCCCAAACCCCCAAGGCCACCCTGGGCAGGGGCTATAGCACTTCCAAAGGCTGACCCAGGAAAAGGGGCAGTCACCTGTTCACAAATGTCCAGCATATGGCCTTGCTGATGCCCTCTCAGAACTCTTCCTTCCCTGCCTGAAAAGGGACTGTGGGAAGTGCCTGATCCACCCCAAAAAGAGGCAGGTAAAATGTGACAGGTGGACAAGTTGCTGGGGCTCCTAAAATCCATCTTTTACCTGGGGACTGGTGGAGTAACTTCCCTGCTGAGGGTCTCACTGGTGCTCCCTCCTATCCTGGCTGACCCAGCTCTGTCCCATTTGCCTCAGCAAAATTCCACCTCCATGGATAGAGAAGAAATAGGCTTAGAGAGGTTTTGGACACAGCCAGCCACAAAGCCACAGATGCCCACTGCCAAGTCCACCATCTCAGCCACAATGCACATTCAAAAGCCTGAGAACTACACAAAGTGAAATGTAACAATGGCTTTGTTTTCTATTGGCAGATTTCAGGGCAAATTGGCAGATTAAAATTTGCATGTACATTTATATGGAGATGTCAGTACACTGCAGACTAGGCCTCTGTATTGTATTGTACATCCTTGCTACAAATACTTCCAGGTTGGGTTTTATTTTTTTACACCAGAGTGTAACAAAAAATAAATTTTTGGAGAGTATTTCAAAGGATGGACCCCTTCTCCAGCCAACTCTCTGTTGGTGCTACAAGATTCCTCTCAGCTTGTAGGAGCCCTCTCTCCCCACTATGCATAAGGTGTCTCCAGGCACAAAGCCCCAGAGATATATGGCCAGCCCCAGAATCTGTTCAGAAGTCAGGTGTGGGAGGACGAAGAGATGGCAAAGCTGTGTTTTCACCTTCCTTAGTGCCACTGCTTACTGCCTATTTGGGTGAAAGGCATGGAGGACAATGAAAAGCCAGTTAAGCTAGAATATGCACTGAAACAGCAGCTGGGATTCATGTCATATTCACAAGAGTTCAATGCCCTTCTCAAAGGGGTGAGTGAGACCACAACCAGAGAAGATGGAGCACCTGCAACCCTTCAGAGCCAAGAAGAAGCTCCAGAATGAGAAGAGGGAGACAGGGACATAAATAAAGCAAGACAGCTCCAGAACTTTTGCTCATCATGAATAATGAAAACAAAACAAAACAAAACCCAAAATTCAAAAGACTCATCATAAAACTGCAAAACTTGAGGGACAGAGAAAATATTTTAATAGCTTCTAGACAAGGAAAAACAGTCACAAACAAAAAAAATCAGCCAGGTGTACACCTGTAATCCCAACACTCGGGAGGCCGAGGCAGGAGGATTGCCCTAAGTGCAGCCAGCCTGGGCTACACAGTGACTTCAAAGCTAGCCCCAAGTAAGAGCCTGCAAGATCCTGTCTCAAAAACCAAACAGAAAAGCACAAAAATCAAAGACCACTAATTAAACATCTTAGCAGCAACCCTAGCACCAGAGGCATAAGCAACACCTTCAAACATTCTAAAGGGAAACCATGCACAACCCAGCACTCCACATCAACCATAGAACAAGAGCAAAATTACTGCAAGGTCTTGGGAATGTGCCTCTTGTCACCCACTTTTTCAAGAAGCTACAGGCAGATGTGCAAAATGGACACAAGGAATGGGAAAGAAGAGAGACAGAAAGCCAGATGAACCAATCCCTGAAACAAAGGAACTTGCAGAGTGCAGGAGAGACATGGCCAAGATCACAATGGAAGAGCCCTGAGACACTGTCTGAAAAGGGGAGTTGGGTCCAGAAGGAATGTTTCCAGGGGAGAATCTAATGGTCTTAGCAGAAGGGTGTAGCAGTGGGGGTAGGATGGCAATTCAGAATACTAAGAAAATAAGCTGGGTGTGGTGGTGCATGCCTGTGATCCCAGCACTCAGGAGGCTGAGGCAGGAAGACTGCTGCAAATTCAAGGCCAGCCTGAAGTACAAGACCCTCTCTCAAAAAAAAAAAAAAAAA